GCACATCTCCATCTAAAACTCTAACCCTCCTTCAGTGTTCACTGACAGATATGCTGAAACATCTAAGAAATCTGGAAGGTGGGAATAACATTGGGAATCAGCAGGACTGAGTCTCAGTTCTGTCCTTACCTGCTAGAGAATCAGTTAATTTTTTTTATGATACCAAATGTCTTATTTGTAAAACCAAAGAGTTGGAGTAGGTGTTCTGTGAATAGCCTTCTAGCTGAAAGGTACATTCTGAATTCAGCAGGATAATATTTAAGCCAACCTTTAAACTGGGAACAATGGAAAGAAGTTTCTGAATGCTGTTTTAGGTACAGAAAGCTAGGAGCCCTGAGCACAAAAAATACCCAAAGGAAGAGAGAAATTCTTCGGGAAACCCAATATTTAAGAAGTTTAGGCAAACTACGTTTGTTTTTTAGTAGTTACAAATTTGCTTGGATGTTTCCTATGAGTTAGTAAAAATCCCTGTTCAAAATTTACATATTCATAAATATTTTTGAGCCATGCACAACTGAATATGTCCACAGATGTCTTTTAGTTCAGCAGAGACTTAGAACTTAGGACAGGCAGATGGAAGTGTGGTTGTTGCTATCAAGTGTAGTATTTGAACATAACTTGGTGATTATTGGGGGAACACATTGTAGGACTTGAGTTTCCTTCCTTACCTGCAATCTTGAAAGTAGCTTAAGCATCTGAGGTTGAATAAACAGATATTTCTTTTGTTTGTCCTTTTAGGTAAACTGTGGGGTTTTGTTGTTGATTTGTTTTTCCCAACCAGATGCTGGTTTACTTAATTTGAGGATTGTTGATAAAATTCTTTCAATTGTCCCAAGTGAATCTTATCTTGGAATACCTAGCAAGTTATTTAAGTTTTAATTAATTACTAAAAAAAATGTAAGCAGAAAGAAAAGCTTATTTTTGTGATTGGAGCTATTGTTCTTTCAAGCTGACAATGTTTTATAAAGTACAGATTTTCAATAACAAGTCTCTGTGCCCTCCTGTTACTGCTAAACCAAACAGGGGTATAATTCCTGTTGGAATGCTTATGAGGTTTTCTATCTTTCTCAGACAATGGAGGAAAAACTATGACCAAGATCATTTTATAGGTCAGCTACTGTTATTAGATTATTGAGAAAATGATATTAAAAATGATTAAAATATTAAAATAAGGAAATAAGCATTTGTGCATTTATTTCCTTACTGTGTTGACTTAGGTGACTATGGAAAGAAATTGTATCAAAGCAACTAAATCTAAAGAATTAATCAAAACAAGTATTTTTAGGACCATAAATGGTAAATTTCAGTCTCAAATTTGGCCACCGATCCATTTTGTTAAGTGCAAAGATAAAACATGACGTGCTCAGATGGGACTAACGTGTGTACAGTTCTTGGAAATTGCCTCAAGGACAGTGTTCCCCTAAAGAATGTGTTGCCTTCGATGTCAGAAAGTCCCCAGGTCTGACTAAAATTTAGAACCTTGCTAGAAGTTTGGGTGGAAGGTACCTCCATCTGAGTTGGAAAGACAGGCACTGTGGCCCACCACAGGACAGGTTTTAAAGCCAGTGTCAGAGTAGGAATTCTGCTCTGTAAACTTGGGCACAGTTTTTGATCTTTAGAACTTCAACTTCTACTTCTTCTGAACAAAATTTCCACTCAATGCTCTTTTTCCTCTGAAGAATATTCTACCTGTTTGCTAGGGGGTGAAAATTGTTTTGATAAAGTTCAAAACTTATTTAATGAGCTTTTTCTGTCTTTCTCCTGAAACATTTTCTCATTTTGTTACTGCCCCCCCCCCAAAGTTACATATGCTTTGCTTATAAATGTAAAATATTCTTTTTACCTTCTTTGACTTTGTTTATACTTAAAAGTATAAAAATGCTAGTTTTAAGAGATTTAGATTCTATTTGGGGGCATTGGCCATATTCCTTTTTATAAATGGCTATAATTTTCTGTCCTTCTAAGTCCCTAGGCTACAGGCCAGCTTCATGGAAGGCAACATCAGGTAGTGATAAGCACCCACTGTAAGGCCAGGGTGGTGGTGAGGTGATTTGTCCACACAGGGGCTGCTTATCTGGGCCACTCGTGATCACACGAGGGGTGCTCTTATGCAGATGTCTGGGCATGCTTTCCTTTGCCACACACTTGGTGGTTGTTGGGGGAACACATTGTAGGGTTTGAGTTTCCTTACCTTGAATTTTGAAAGTAGCTTAAGCAGCTGAGGTTGAATTCTTCTCTATGCTGTTGACCCTGGTCTTCTCCAAATGGAAATTTGATTTAAACCCCGATTGGCTTTTCATTGCTGAAGGATGAAGTCCACATTCCAAAGCCTGGTTCCTAACATGTGGTGCTTCACCTGCTTCAGCCTTGCTCTCTGCTGTGCGCCCACATCTCAGTTCTTTTTTGCCACACATCATGCCACAGCCACGAGGTCACTTGCAGTTCTCCCAGTTTCCAGTGATATCTCAAATTCCAGGACATTGCTGAAGATGCTGACTCTATATCTGCATGTCCAGAACAGTGAGCTTGGTGACATCCTACACCTCTTTCAAGATAAATTCAAAGAACATCTTTTTGAGGTCTTTCCATGGTTTCTCCATCAAATATTTAAGTGTTGTCTCCCTTGTGCCCCCACTTCTTTCACCATCCTAAAGCACTTTGGTAGACTTAAATACTTGTCCTCTACTGAGTTAGAATATCCTTGAAAAAAAAAAACTTTTGTAAATGAATGGACAAATAAATGAACACAAAAGTTCTTCAATAGCCTTCAAGGCCTAAGAAACATACCTGGATTTGAAAGAGTCAGTCTTGAGACTTTATGGGGCCTTTTCCCTATCACCCTGAGCACTGAGGACTTCATGGAGATTTCAGATTAAATCTAATGAGGGGAGATCAGGGAAGTCCTTTTGAATGAAGTGATATTGAACCTAGACTTGAAAAACAGCTAGGCGAGGTTGGGGAGGGAAGGATTTCTGGTGCAACAAGAACAGGCACAAAGGTTTGGATATGGAAAGGACGTGAGGCTTGGAACATACAGCATGCTTCCACCCCCAGAGAGAGAGGAGCAGAGTGTCCAATCAAGCAGGTGTGGACTAGATAACACAAGGCCTCCTTGGTGTCCATGAAGAACAGTGAGGTTCCATTCCACAGACTGAATGCATCTCCCTAGTGGAGTCCCACAGAACCCCACTCGGGTGGTGCCCAAGGTCCTGTGGAACAGTTAGAAAACCTGGAAGAGGCATGTTCATAGTCATAGCCAGAACTCCTAGAGGGCCTCAGTTAAACGTTTAGCATTCAAACCGTTTAATACTCTGATCTTTATGTTTCATGCAAAGTTTTCATTAGATTTTTTTCCTTCTAGTTATAAAAGTGTGTGCTCATCATGGAAATGTTGAAAATGTTTTGTTCATCTTTTATGGACACAGATTTTTCTGATGGTTGCTCTCGTTTTCTATAACATACCCTTTGGCATTTGGCTTAATTCATTTTGTTCATTTGCAAACACAATCATTTCATCCTCTTATAATAATTTGATCACTTATAACTATTCATGTTTCACTGGACATCTTTCATGTTCCAGCACTGTTTAGTACTGAGGATATTCTAAACAAGCCAGCCCTGGAGTCTTGGGAACAAGTTTTATGTATTGGAAGAGTCCATTTGGTGTTCACAAGAGACTGTAGGTGTGTCCCCAGTGTGAATGACCTACACTGAATTGAAAGATCTACACCAGGAGTGGAGGCTTAAGGGCAGAAATCATAGAAGGGGGTGGTTGGGAATGGAAGGGCAGAGGAGGGAGCAAGCTTTATGTGCCTGTTTCAGTTGTATTCCTGTGCAGTCAGCCTGAGGCTGACCTTGAGTTCTTGTTAAAAGCCTGCCCGTTGCTTCTGACCTTCAGCACATCTGATTTCTTTCTTCTGGTTATTTTGCTATCTGTTCTCGTAACACTTTCATAGATAGATATAATTTCTCAAACTGCACACCTTTACAAAATACGATGGATAGCCCATATTCACCACTCTCTAGTAGTAGGTGGTAAGCTAAAGCTCATATCTAACTTTACTAAGAGATATAGTTTATTTTTCTTCATCCATTACTATTTTTATAATTTGGGCACTCTTTTATTGATTTTAAGGAAAATATTTCTTTTCATAATGATAATCTTAATATTTTCTGAACCTCAAAAATCCCTGTCACCAGGTTAGTAGTTAAAAAATATTTATATATTTATACCTGAATATTAAAGAAGAATTTAGAAACATTTAACAATTATTTTGCATGATATTTAGTTAATTTGTGTGGCAATTATTCATATATATGCAGTGGAATCATGTGGAAAGCCTGATTTATATTCATTAGATAATGTGTCAGTCTTACCATTAGCAATTTCAGTATCTGCTTTTAATAACCCCGCAAGTATTCATGAGTAAGAAATTGGCAAAGCGTCCTACTAAGGGAAAAGGTGTGAGAAAGTGTTGAAAAGGCCACCTATCAACTTGCATAAGAAGCAGTGCATTTTTTTAAAAAATGTAGATCTTTTCCAAGTAAAAGAACAAGGTGAAGAAAAATGTCATAAGAAGAGAAAACATTGTGGACAGTTTGGGGACAATGAATCTTGTCTCCATGATTTGGGGGCAAACGGATTACTGGCAGCTGATTTGGGTACTCTGCCCTACAGAAGCAGAGGTGTCAAAGAAGAAGTGACAGTTGTCTGTGGATTTCCCAGGAAACTGAGCGTGCAGTGACACTGGTACATCCCAGGTGACACTGTCTCTGAGGAAGCCTGCAAAAAAAGCCTTCTGCCTCCAGGCTGAGGCAGGTGTTATCATTTTACAGCTGTTTAGAAAATGAGTCATACCTTATCTGTATGTCCCTGCTGGATAGGGATTCTGGAGTTGGCCCTGGGAGGGATGTGGAATAAAACTGTCTTTGGCAATATGTTTTAGGGTTTACTCAGTCACCTCATTCTTGACCCCTTTCTCATTTTCTATTTCATACAGTAAATACTTCCCCAAAGGTCCCTCCTACAATGAGTGATGAAGAGGCTGCTGTCACCACCGTAGACCCCTCCTACCCAGGAGCAAAACAAGGTTTGTTTTTATTTTAAGGATTGGATCTGAAGTTCTTATGCTGATACAGTGCTACTTAATGGGACCTGACACCGAGAAGTACAGGCTAAGTAGACGCCTACAGCAGAGGAAGTCTCATGTTGTAGCTCCTCCAGGAAACTGTGCATCCAGCTAAGGAACCTAGGTAACGCTGAGATAGCAGTAGGGGTTAAAGAAATTAAAACTGTCTAACAAAACACAGAAATGACAAATGGGACCATTCATCCCGCACAAAGTGATCCCAGAGTGTGGTACTGAGAACACCTGTGGGCAGGTCCAGGGGCCTCAGAACTGGCTGGCCCTGTTCCCCTGTAGACCTTGAGTGAATAGTTTTGCAGGGCTTCCATCCCATAACGTTAAAAGGAAGCCAATAATGCTTGCCTCACAGTGTTTCCCGAAAGATTAAGTAGGACCTATGTCAAAGTGCATAGCTCACTGCCTTGTCACAGTGCCTCATAAGTGATAGCTGTAAACCAAGCTGCGTGCTGAGATAAGGGTGGGCAGGTGCCACAACTCTCTCCTGATGGATATTCATATGCAGTGCTATGCGCCATGTATTCTATAAGCAACGGCTAGCATGGCATTTTGCTAAATATTTTCAAGCATTAATTAATTTATCCTCACAGGAACCTGAAGAGATAGGCATCATAATCTTCTTTTTGTGGCAGGGGAATACTAAAGCACCCATAAATTAAGTGAGGCATCTACATTACTGAAAACCATCTGTTTTCCTCCAAAGCCTATATACTCTGCCACAAAGAAAGAGAGGATAAGCTTCAATGAACCTGTATACAATGAACATGTACATGTGACTGCTAAAAAATGACAAAGCATAACCAAGTCCTTGTCCACATGATACAACATAGTGTGAAGTATGGTTTGTAATGGAATTCAAGAAAATTGTGTAGCTCTGGTAGTCAGAGGGCTTCATGGTGCCAAAGGGCATGTGGAGACAACAGAAAAAGAAATTCAAAATGTGGATGGATGGGGAAGGTTAAAGTGATTAGAATCCTCAGGCAGTTCTAGAAACTTCCACAGACAGGAAATCCAGGGAGTCCATTGGTAGAAGCTCCAGTGGGACACAATAAGGATTTGGATTCCGACAGCCCTGGGGCAGAGAGTTGGATAATTGACAGCCATAGGACCCCTCTTTGGGTTGAACTAGTGTGGAAGGCTGTTCGGTGTGTCTCCTTTCTTCTTGTCATTTTTACATTTGTTTAAAAGGCTCTGCTTCTTGTGGATGTTGATAGGTGGCTCTTTCAGTACTTTCTCACACCCTTTCTCTTAATTAAATAGTTTGCAAACTTCTCTACTTGTTAGTTAAAATTGCAAACTAAAATTACTAAGGTAAGACTGACACCTTCTAATAATTTTTATTAGCTTGATGTTAAAAATTGACCAAAAACCTGTAAAGCATGGTTAAGAAAAAGAACCCCCCTAAACAATCTAATTTAAAAAAATGGTTTCTGAGACATATCTTACTTTTCTGATTTATGTTGAAATTTTGTCTTTTTAGGAAGAAATCAAATTATACACCCTTTCTCTGAACCAGGTACGTTTGCATTTGCTATGGAAAGATAAGAATTCCATTTTAAATTACATATTGCTGCTTTTAAATACCCAAGGAACAAGAAGTAGCCATATTAAAAAGCCAGAAGAGTCTATGTCCTTAACCTTAGCCACAGAAAGTTGTAAAAGCAAGTAAATCTTTTCATTTAAGAGTTAACAGAAGCACTTCTAATTTTTAAAACAATGTGGAAAACAATACATGACCTGATAATTTTCTCTTAAGAAAAACTTCTACTTGACCATGAGAAGAGTCTCCTCCCTTATAAAAACAATTGAACCTCCCTCTTCCCTAACATAAAGAAAGCAAGGAGCTTAAAAATCACCTAATCAATTGGCACTGTGTCAAAGCTAAACACACGCCCTTCATGCCTTAGTCATGATCCATCTTGGCCTGGGCTCCCACACTGGGGGCTCCTTTTACCTCCACTGTAACTGGCGATGCTCCCTGCTCCTTAGGTGCTGCTATGGATCCAGCCAGTAAATTTATGTTCTCGTTTACTATTCTGCATTTCCAAGTCTTCCTTCACATTTGGCCCGTGTCCACATTTCACACAGGGGAAAAAAAAATGGAGGTAGAACTTCATCACCATTTCATTCATTAAAGCCAAGGGGGCTACACAGCATCAATGGGAGGACAGAACTTTTTTAAAAGCTGCTTTTGCTTTTCTAATCAAGAATAGATCTTTTCAAAATCAATTAACCAAATAAGTACACCATCTTCTCTTATATCCCCAGCCTTCAGTTGTCTTTACGAATATGGAGATTTCCTCTAACTTAATCGGTTTAAATTGCTTCATTCTCATAATGGATTTGAAAATATTTTTGGTCACTGTATCAGTGACTGTGCATAAAAATGCTATGGAAGAAACACAAGCTCAGAGTAGAGGTGACCTGGATTCCATAGCTTCCCTGGGCTTCATTTACTATTTGTAAACTGTTTCTGCCAGTTTCCTACCAAACTTATGATTCTGCAACCCATTGACCGACCTTGGATAGCCTTTGATACAGTAAAACATTGTTTTCTCTCGTAATGTTCAACTCATGAAAGTGTTTGTGGTTTTCCCCCTATCAAGGTAGATTTTCTACTTAGCACATCTATGATTATTCCTTTAAAGAGCACAGGACTTGAAATCAGAGCTCTGGGGTCTTGTTTCTGTCATTAACTAGTTGTGGCTTGGGTTAAAAAAAAAAAAAAGAATTTTATCACACAGAATTCGATTTTCCCAAAAGTTTATTGTAAAAAATCTCAATTTTTGAAAATAAAATATGCATAAAATTATGCTGTATTATGTATTTTTTTCTGAACAGGCAAGGAGATATCACTTATTTTACCTGTTTGATTTTTCAATTGATATGTGGTAGTTCACTTCACACTTTCATAATTTTCCTGCTCTTTTTCTCTCACAGTGATAATATTAATTATTTTTGCGGTAATGTTTGGTATCATTGGAACAATCCTTTTAATTTCTTTCTGTGTCAGGCGACTGGTCAAGGTAAGAATTCAGTTTTTAATTTTGCTGTATTTATTGATGTGAACAATTTTCGGTGGGCTTATTCTTCTGAATACAACTAAAACACATAGAGAAGCAAAACTGCATCAAACTCCAATTTTTTTCTCAATTAGACACATGAAGTCACTGAGTCACTCTAACAGAATTATTGCTTCTTCTTCCCCTCTGCCTCCTTCTCCCTTTCCCAATTTAAGGTAACCCCCATTTAGAAATCTATCCCCTATTTTCCCAAATACAGATAAAATAGTCATTTTTTTTATTTATACTATTTACTTAGCCTACAAAATATTTAAAATAATATTATATATTTAGATTGTTTAAAATTTTAATGCTTTACTATTCTCAAATTTCCCAAAGCAGATTTTTCAAAATCTACCCATGAATTTTTAGCCTGTGATTTTTAAAAATCTCTAAAGCTATTTTTAAATGCATGTGATACAGCTTCCCAAAATACATAACCTTCCACCTAAGACACAACATCTATCTGTGTAGTTTTGATGCTGTCCCTGAATCTGTATCCTACATCCTAAATTCCTAACTATATTAGATGGGTACAGTTGGGTGTGCATTCATCTTCTATTCTTAATCTCGCTCTGTGGTCTTTAGACCATAAGCACTATCTGAACTCTTTTTTAAAAAAGCTTATTCGCAGGGGTGACCACACAGCTGTGGTGGGGCCATATCAACATGAATGATGGCAAATCTACATACAGTGCTTCTTGTCTGCTTCCTTTTAAAGTCTTTCTCTAGGCAACTTTAATAATCACCCAATCCTATGATCTATGGTCATTTTCAAGTAAAGTTGTTTATTAACCTGAATTTTGAGAGATTTTTTAAAGTATTTGAATATGAGATGAATTCTCCTGTCTGAAGTATAAATATCAGAGGAAAATCATCTTCTATTTGAGAATACTTGCCAAAAGTATTCTCTTTTGGTCAGTGTTACAAAACCTGAAAAAGTCAATGAAATAGTTGGCAAAATCTAGAGAATTTTCTACGTGTTTACAGAAGAATTTTGTTCTGGTTAACGTAACTAAGGAATCATACCCTCATTCTTTTTATTTCTATCTTCACTATTCATTACAACAAGGACATATGGAAGAGTCTGTATATGGGGTGCTATTGCACCTACTGAATACCAAACACATTTTATTTAGAAATGTAAATGTAAGTTTAAATCAATGTTTATTAATATCTGTTAAAAAACTCTACAAAGTGAATTTCAGCCAAAAGGAAAAAATACTGTAGAAGAAATATTTTTAATCTGAGGTGTTTTAATTTTTATTGTCTTTGATTTTGAAATGTGATGCTAATGGTTTTCTGGTTTTTTTATTCATAGAAAAGTCCACCAGTCATAAAACCTGTCTCCTTGGAAGACACAGACTTGCCTTTAAATTCTGTTGAAATGGGACAGACAGGTATTTGTGTTGTCTTTTGCCTTTTGGGAGGGAAATTAATTAGTAAGCTATTTCTTTCTGAGCTGGGGAGGGGATAACCAATCAGAATTCATTTAGATTCTATTTTATTAATGTTACTTTTATAAGATTAATTTTTTGTAATGGGAATTAATTTTTTTGTAATGTGAAAATTGTCTTTATCTTAGTGAGATTCTTCCCTAGGCACAGAGTGTCTTTAAAAAAAGAAAGAAAGAAAGAAAAAGTAAATCAAATATAAGTGAAAGAGAAAAACCAAGTTCTTTTGTGTACTTCTTATTTCCCAAACTTCGGTGTTATGTATCTAGGAGACCCAACTCTGGATATAATTTGAATAGTTCAAATCCATATTCAAATCCATATTCCAACATTTATGAGTGTTGTAACCTTAGGCAAGCTCCCAATCCTCTTTTAACATGAAGATAGTGAAGTATCAACCTTCTAGAGCTTAGTGAGGATTAAATGAGCTACCATAGGTAAATAAAGCCTTTAAAACTGTTCTCGGCCATTTTAAGTGCCCAGCCTGGGAGCTGCAGGCTCCGTTCCTCAGTGACCTCCTCTGCGCAGCTGGCCCAGCTCTGGGCCCTGTTGTCACTTCCACTCCAGGGTGTGAAGTCAATGTGGAGAATTGCAGGTACATTTTGTTCGTGCAGAACAGTATCGATCCACATAGTGTTTTTCAAAAAGAGAAGTTATTGCCAACCTTTAAAAAGTTGGAGATTTTTACATTTTGAAAACAAATCCAGATATTAGTATTCCCTTGGGGGAAAATGTACCCTCATATCATCATGACAGCAATTCATAAAAGCTGAGGAGTGGCTGCTGTTTCTCCTGCTTCTCTAAATCCCCAGTCCATCGCAATTATTTCATTGATTATGACTTGTCACTAAGAAAGCGTATAGTGCCCAGCACATTTTGCCTGAAGTGTAAACCCAAGTAATATCTATTTTGGAAAAGGTCCACACCAAGAACAAATTTATGGAATGAGTTTGAGTGCTCAGCAAAAGGGATCTATTCTGCTTTCTACAAAATCAAGTCAAGTTTTTCCCATAATTATCAAAACTCATGCCAGATTGTGGATCCTGAAAACCTCCAGATTTCAGTTTCCACTCTGGATCAAGGACCTACCTTCTAAGAAATTGCTAGGTTTTCCAGACTTTGGGATCATAAAAAGTTAAAGTTTGAAAGATCTCTACCACACTACACAGTTACATGCAGGATTTGGCTCAGCAGAGTATCCTGTGATTTCTTAAAATTTAACAATGATTATTACCTAATTCCACAGTCTTAGGAAGTTCCTGTTACTAGAATGAATGGAATAGCTGCGATTCTCATTTAAAAGGATTAATTAAACTCCATCTGCAGATACTTAAAACAACAACAAAAGCTTTTGAGTCAGATGCCACATTCACTCTTGATTACCGTATAATGAGACCTGCAGCTGGAACAAATATCTGTAAAATAGCCCTCTTCTGTCTGCCTTATTAAAAAAGAAAAAAAAGTTTTGATGCAATTTTAAAAATGGAAGGATTGCCACCTAAATCCTAATATTTTGTTTCCAAAATTACTGTGCACTTCGAGCTACTTACTTATTATGGTGACATTATACCTTTTTATGTGGCGCTGAGGGTGGAACCTAGTGCCTCGCGAGCGTGCTAGGTGAGCCGCTGTACCACAACCCAGCCCCCCCCCCCTTTTTTTTAAAGGCAATCTTGACTTTCTGGGCAGTAGGCCATAAAAGTTGGGGCAGTTAATACACCACAGTGTATTAGAATGCCCTTGTAAATTTAATTCAATTAAATACAACAAGCATGTATTAAATGCTTACTGTGGACTGGGTATTACACCCACATTATGTACTCATATGAATCTCTGTCTTAAGAAGTTGAGAGTCTAATGGAGGAAAGAGAAGTGGTTATTGAAGGGAGTCATTTTAAGATAGAAGAGTGACAGGCAGAGGTAGCTAAGGTTTCTGGAAATGGAATCACATGGGGTCATTCATGAAGAAGAGATGGATATGACCCAGGGCAGGTAGTTCTAGTGGAAGGGCAGCTTAGCAAAACCACAGAAGAAGACAGAATACAGTGTCCCCAGGAATCACATGCACTTCACATCAGTAGGATGAATGCTCTGATTCATTCTCTGTTTATGTCTCACATATGTGTAAAGGCGAACCAGTGTAGAATCATTTAACTTCCCTTAACTTCCCTGTATTTGTGTAAATGAAATTACCCGCAGCATCTTAGTAAGTTTGTGAAATGAGTTCTAAAACAGAATGCCCCCCCACAGGAAATGCCAGAGAACCCAAAATCATTGAAAATGTTTTTGTCCATTTATGAAATATTTTTCTAAACTGATTTACAAGTCAAAGGCATGAAAGGTGAGAGTGACTGTTCCTTCTCAACAAGAATCAATGTTAGGGAACAATTAAGGTAATGAACTACTTTAACCTCCTTGAACTTGCACGTGCTTTGTGCTTAGTGAGGAATGAGAGTAAGTCATCTGCCACATGTGACCCCACTGGACCATCTGTCATAGGGAATGTTTGGGGTATAGTTCCTATAGCACTCAAATAAGAGAAAAGTGGAAAATGCCCTGTTTCTATAATAGTAAAGACTCTCGCATCCCTTTAATGTGCTCTCTGGGACATAAAAATTAGTCCAACCTCCCAAAAAGAAGGTGAAGATTCTGGGTACAGTGGGGAAGACGAGCTTATTTTTGCCCTTCTTTCATGCACTAGAATCAGAAAGGAACTCAGAAGTAAGTTTCCATGCAGGAAAAAAGAAAAAGAAAGAAAGAAAAAAAAGCTATTCCTAAAAAAGATCTTATAGCCTTGAGAGCTTGTCATTCAAACAGGCATATATAATTCAACCCATTCTGGTCTGCCTCATAGACCAGCTCTCTGTTACCTGTTAGCTTCCCAGCTCTTGAGACAGTAGGAGCAGAATAATTATATTTGTTTCTTATATAGGCTTCTAGAATAGATTTGCTAAAAAAAAATCTGTGTTTTCTTTACCCCCCCCCAAAAAAAATCTCCAATACAGCTAAATTGCATGGAGATGCCTTTCATCTTGTTTTACTACTTATATTCAAAGACAACTGTAAGAATTTAGAATCCTGAAATTTATTTTGTGCAATGATTTCCTTATGTGTTTAAAAATAACCATGTCATGTAGCACTCTTTTATAGCTCCTGCCTCTAATCTTTCTACAGAATAACCAAAGAGAATGTGCTCACCAAGCCAAATTTTGGAAGAATTCAAAGACATTAGTCAAGTGAAAAATGATCACAGAAATTGGAACCATCAGTAGATTATGTAGCTACCTACGTTGTACCATTTCAGGAAGCAAATTTCATCATAATGTGTTTCAGAGATTCAACCAAGAGGAAAAAAAATCTTTGCTCATTAATACTTCAAGATAAAGAGTGTACATTTCCTTGCATGCTTGCTTTTGTGTTAGCATAATTTTTATAATTAATTGCTTTAGGATATCTGACCTAAAATTTCTGCTGAATTCATCTGCTATTTTTTAAGACTGACTTATTCTATCCTATTATAATCTTAATGATTGCACTGTCAAACGAAGGTCTTATAACATCTCCTTTATGTATAAGTTCTTCTCTTTCTAAACTCTTAGGTTCACTTTCATTGTTTTAAATAAACTACAGGGTCAATGAAGTCCTCATTGTTTTCCTTCATTGCTGAACAGACAAGATGTAGTATTGCATTAATGATGATAATAGTTTACTCACATGAATAAAGCTTGCACTGGAAAAATGCCATAAATTATGTAATAACACATTTACACATTTATCGTTTAATGAATAAATCAATTAAAAAGACTTTTCCCATGAAAAACACAAATGGCCCATGTAAAATAACTTGTCTGACAGCAGAGTCCAACAGAAGCTCTGGCTCTTGTGTTGTTCTCCACTGGAGGTGATTTGTGTGAGTGATCAGGGTGTCCTGAGAAAGAGAAGAATGAATAGAATTTTCTCATGAATGAAATTTAATAACTCTTAAGGGCAGCAAGATGTACAAACTTGACATGCTGTTTTAATAGCTGTCTCCATGTTTCCTCAATTAAATTCTTTAATCCATCCCATTCCAGTTTCTCTCATTAATAAAATGCTTTAAATTGCCTAAAAGAAGTTTCTAGATATAAGAGGCTAAGGCTTTGTGGCTATATAGCTGTCACTCATTTAGAGCCAAACTTAAAAAGTTCATATAAAGGTAAGAAAGACCTTCCTGTGATAGTCTATTTTCCAAAAGAATAAGAATCAATGTTGCTTTACATTGCTGTGTGATAATTAAGTAAATAATTGTGTATTTATATCTGGGCCTGGAAACAAATTTATTTTTTAATAAATTTAAAAAAAATCTAAATCTCATATTTTCAGAGAATGTTTTTGAATTAAATCACCTATTTAAAATAAAGTGAAAAAAGAAGACAACATGACTATTGGTATGTATTTTTGTGAAATAGCTTTAAGAATGTTATTAGGTTAATTTAATCCAATGAATGACCCAAGGGTCAAGGCACTTTCAAGTATACTTTGTAAAATAAACATAAAATGTTGAACTAAGAAAGGACATAAGACTAACCTTGTCTCTAAAGTAATTTATAAGTCACAGACAATAAGAGGTGAGAGGACTGTACTGTCTCCACCAGAGCAACAGAATTCAGAGGATAATTAAAGTACAAATTGCTTTAACCTCCTTGAACTTTTCTGGCCAGTTTCTCTGTCCTTCTTGATGTGAACTTTTCACATCTAAATTTGGTGTTTGTGGGAAGAAATGACCTTTGCTCTCTTTGTATTTTTAATAATTAAATAAGAAAAAAAAGTATGTAAGACAGAAATCTTTCCTGGGAAGGCAGCGTGAGCCCATGAATGACTCCAGTTGAATTTCTTAAAACTGGGGACTGGGCTGGTGAGGTTGAGAGAACATCTTACTCTTCGGTGCACGGTATTTTCTTGTATGGATGTGAGCAGAGGGTCTAATGAGTAGAGAAAAGTGAGGGACATTGAGAAGAAAAAAATATAAACAGCCAAAACAGTATGGTGACAGTGTCTCACTGATACTGATATGAAGTGACTGAGCATTAGTCTTCTGGTTTATTCTAAGCACTTATCCTATCAAGCGTAGCAAATTTCTCACAAGTAATTCCCCAAAGCCTCATGTTGTCCAGATAAAAATAAACAATTCTGCCCAGCAGTCTGCCTAGGCCTGTGACTGTCTTACACACTCTGGGGAACCTGGCTGATTGTGCTGGCCACCACAGCGTCACCTTCAGCTTTTAGAGTGAAACACGTCCTTGGGGCCTCACGTCACCCTACCCACGTTGTAGCCCGGCTAGGATCTGAAGTTCACCCTCAGTTTAAGTGTGATTCATTAAGAGCAAGGACTTTAATTCATTTTTTTTAAATCCCTGAGAAGCTTAACAAAATTTGTTCCTTACTTCAGGAACCCTGTCCTAATATTTAAAATGGTATTGTACATAACAATGTTATAAAAGGTTTAGTCAGGCAGGCAGGCATAGTGTAGAAAGAAAACGAACTTTGGAGCCCAAGTTGGAACCTTGACTTTCTTTTTTGTTGGGGGTAGGGGTGAGGGTGAGCTAGGGATTGCACCCAGGGTCTTGCTCCTGACATACCCTACCACTTAGCGACATCCCCAGCCTCTGAACCTTCACTATTAATTCACGTAACTTCAGTTTCCTTATCTATAATACGAAGATTAATGTAGTTAAACTACCTTACAGAAGTGTCATGAGGTTTATATGAAATGAGGTCTGCAGGGTAAACCTGCACCACCTAAGTGTTCAGTAAATGGCAATTCTGATCATTGTCACCTGAGACCAATTCTTGCTTGTTACCGGTCAGGCAGCATACAGTTCTGCAGAGAGGTCACTCCGAATACGCCATGGAAATATTTAGCCTTGAAAGGCAATTCCTAGGATTCTTTTGGTCATCTCATTTTTGTGCAAAATTGAGCAAATAATATTCTTTTATCATTATTATAATTATTACCTCATGTGAATCATACAAATTAATGGGTTTCCCTGAATTGCTTACATCACGTTGTGATCATGTCCACGCCCTTTCTACCCTTTCTGCCTTCTCCCTCTGTTCCTCCTTTCCTTCCCTAACAGTCCTTTTTTACTATCAGGTAATTTTTTGTTGTTGTTTGATTCCACAGATGAAAGAAAAATATGATACTTGTCTTTTCAGGTCAGGGTTGTTTCCTTAACATGATGCCCTCCAGTTCTACCCATTTTCCTGCTAATGACATAATTTCACTCTTCTTTATAGCTGATTAATATTCCATTGTGTATCTATATCACAACTTCTTTATCCATTGTCTGTTGATGGGCATCTAAGCAGATTCCATATCTTGGCATTTGCAAACAGGTCCACAAGAAACATGGACATGCAGGTGAATGCTGACCTCTTTTCTTCACAACCAACATTCTTTATCTGTTGTCATCGGAATATTACCATATGCTCTTTAACTGAGTAGATGTACAAGAAGAAATGTCCACTCACTCTGGACATTTGCAATCTGATATATATATATATATATATATATATATATATATATATATATATATATATATATATATATATATATCCTGCTCTCTAGAAAACCTAAGTTGCTCTCCTTTCACCTTAGAGAATTAGTTAAAAAATATGTGGAGGTTCAGGGCTTTCATGAAAGAAATGCTTGCAATGTGTATATAACAGCTACTAATGGAACCAACACACAAATTAAGCACTGTGGAACTCCTAAATGCAACTGCAAGATACACAATTTTCCTTGAAAAAAAACACTTAAAAAGTCAAGGCTGGGTACAGTGGCACAAGCCTGTAATCCCAGCAGCTCTGTAGGCAGAGGCAGGATGATCACGAGTTCAAAGCCAGGCGCTAAGCAAGTCAGTGAGACCCTGTCTCTAAATAAAATACGAAATAAGGCTGGGGATGTGGCTTAGCGGTCGAGGGTCCCTGGGTTCAACCTTCAGTAGTATAAATGAGTCTCCTCCCATTTCACTTCAGGTTGAGAGCTCTCGAGGTCTGTGGATGAGCTTTCATTGTCCTTTGAATGTAAGAGAAATTTGTCACTTGAGAAATCTGAAGGGGAAATAGGTAACCCTAGTCTTGCTCTGAAAGTGCATTAGGAGACATTATGAAGCTGGGAGTGACAAGAATTCTTGCAGGTTTGGGTGGTTATAGAGTTTCTTGTAGGCTTTATATGGTCCATGTGGGGAAAAAAATCGCTGGTATTGGTTGTCTTTGGTCATGTTGAAAATGACTTGCTGGATTGGGGAACAGTTATTAATAGAAAGAAGAGTGTTGCCAGACACCTAAGGACAGAAGAACACAGGAGACACATGCATTTGCACAAGTCCAGAGAACTCACTGAGACGTGGGTTTGCACAAGCTCAGAGAATAGCAGGAAGGTCCCAGTGGTGGGAAAATTCTGAGCAACCCACAAAAGCACCTACAGAGGAAAGATCTAGATAAAAATCTCTGCCAAGTGTAAAATGCTAGACCAACACCAAGATATCAGTCTAAACAGAACATTCTTCCTGTGTTCCAACTCCAGAGGGGTTAGAAGCTTTTTGGGTAACAAGAGGAAGAAAGAGGAGTTGACCACACTATCCACATCCTAAATCCAAGGAAGAACAAGAATAAAAACATTAATTTAAAATCAGAACGGAAATTTAGATTATGGTATTTATGTATATATTTTAATCAGAAATTGGTGGATCATGTGTATTGCCTAAGAGTAACCAGAATAGTAGTGAAGTCTACTCTGGTTTTGACAGAGAAACAGTGAAAAGATCAGTTCTACAAAATACATTTTGAAGGACACAGGAAACATGACTAGAGTTATTTAGTTGTATTCTAAAAGTCTTTTTCATTCAATATAACCAATATACTGTAGAACTATTAATGTAGAAAAATATTTTCTGATAAAATAATAAAGTATAATGGCAAAAAACTTACCTATGCATTGTTTGTAACTAAATTTACTCAGAAATAACAGAGCAATGTATTCCCAAATTCATATTTTGGCCCAGGAGTTCCATTTTGAAGAATATACTTCACAAAACTGCAAAAAAAACTTATAAATTATTATTTTGCAATTTATTTTATATATTAGTAGCAGAAAATAATAACAAAAAAAAATAGCCTTAATGTTCGAAAACTTAGTATCACCTGTGTATTGTCATAATTAGTAGATTAACAAAATAGATAATTAGGCAGCCAGGAAAAATTACAAGTTTACATGTGAAAATGTGTGTATAAGTAGTATGTTTATCCTGAACTAAACAAAAATACAAGTGCATAAATTTAAAAGTTTGGAAAAAAATTGGTAGCATTATTCAATCATTTCTTCTTGTTTTTTAAGAACCAGCACTACTAATTTAAATGTAGTTCAACATCACTGGCTCCTGTTGAATATCCCAAAGCTAGGGCTCTACTTCCAAGCTGAAGACCAGGGACATCATATCTCACTAAGCATATGTTTTTTGGGGTGTGCTTAAAATGCACAGTGACTCTGCAAAATTAGCCTTTGAAAGCTGAAAAACGAATGTTTCTAAGAAAGGGGAATGGAAATATTTTTAAGTTTGCTCTAGGAAAAGGGTGATTTCTAGATAAGAACTAGACACCCATATTGCAATGACCATGGTTCCCATGGGGGCTTCTTAAGAAAAGAAAAGCAAATAGGTCTCACTGGGAACATTTGAGCAAAAGATGTGAGTTTTATGTTGCCTACATCCCCTGATGTAAGAGTCTTATTCACTTCTTAGGCTGACTCCAACCTTCTGAGAAATGATAACCATGTGATAATATTTTTTTCAATGCCAGGGGTGGAGCACAGGACTTGCTACCTGCTATGCAAGTGCTCTAACTCTGAGCTATTCCCTCATTCATTTGCAATTATTTTTCCAAAAAAATCTTTAAAAATTTGTTTTTTAGACACTGCCTTGAGGTTTTTATAAAATTTCCATCACATAGGAGCTCAAGGTCCAAGTATGCTTGCCTTATTCCTGATAAACAGCTAAAAATATGACCCCAAGTAACATGTGAATGGTTTACTTTTCTCTTACTTCCCAGTGCTACCATGAGAGCCTTGGGGTGATGGCATGGCAAACATTTTCACAGCTCCTTCATGATGTCCAGAACAGAGGCCCCCTTTCTTATAAATCCTCCCCCAGAATTGGAAAGTGGACCTCAATTCTTACTCCTTTGCCTGGTTCCTGACCACCCAGGAAGCCCTCTTCTCCTAAGTAGGTTCTTCTCTGTATCCTTAGGTCCCCAACACAATCCCAAATACAAACCTGCTTGGCCTGTTTATTGCCACCCGTTTGAGTTTGGGCATGGTCATAACCTGAGAATACTGCTGCATTATCAGACCTACTTGATTGTATATAGTATTAATGAATGCAGA